ATTCTGTAATTTATGTGGGCTAAGAGTCATTTTTACTTGAACAGAAGGATTAGATGGAGGTTAAATAATGAAAAATGCCCTCTGGAGAAAAAAAAAGAAAAATCTAGGGCTAATATTAATTACTGCACCCTTCCAAAGAAATGCATGCACAAAAAATTATTATTATTAATGAGACAGCTAGGCAGATGTTTCTGAAAGAGGATAGAAAAATAAGTTGTACCAATTACATGAGAACAAACACAGAACATTTTTTCTCCTTGTGGCTATAGGGCTTTTATCTGTATTATAAAAAAGGCTTAAAAATTGTTATTTAAAGAAAAGCTGAAAACTGTTCTTGGCATTGCAAGAGAAGATGCTGAATACACTAAAAGATTGAACAGCAGCACATTGGAACAATTCAAGAAATAAATATTGTAAAGTAGGCAATGAACAGAGATAGAATATTTGGAAGAATGCTTGGGATCATTTAGCTGATACAGGGACGGCCTCAGCTCTGCAGTTCAGGCAGCCCTTCCCCAACCCCAGAGAGCTGAAATGGGGCTGAAATGGTGCAATTGAAACAAGAAAATAAAAACAGCCACGTACGTTTACATCCACTCCCATCCCCTCACCAGAACTCCTCCTGCAGCCTCCACAGAGAACATCCCCAGGACAGGCTGGCTGGGAAATGCCCCAAATATCAGATTTGCAGGTACATCCCAACATGCACTGTAGAGCTTTTGGAACATCATTGCTTCAGATCCTCAACAAAAAAAGTCATCATCTTTTGTAGGTTTAATTAAAAAAAAAGAGTTTATAGTCACCACATGCTCACGATTTGTCTCATTAATCTTTAATGGCAGCTAGAAGCTACAGGTTTATAAATATCTCTTTTTCATAATTGTGACAAGCAGTGACTAGATGCAGTTTTGGTGGAAAATTTTCTGAAATACTGTAAGGCTAGGTAAATTACAAGGCATTATTAGAAAATGTTGATTTTTGACTTTTGGTGATATTACATAAACTTTTACAAACATTAGAAACAAACATTATTTGGTGAAATATAAACATTGCAGAAGACACTACAGCTAAAAGTAATTTACTAGTCAAGTACAGAGTTAAGTAACAATATTTTTCTCAGCATGAAATCACAGTAAATCAAAGAAACAGCAATAAAAACCTGCATGTTGAAGAAGAACACTCTCTCCAACAGACAGAACCTCTGTTTGTGTAATGCTACAAGGGAGGGGTTGGGTTTGTTCAAACCTCTCCAAGAACAGCAATTCTGCCACAGCAATTTTCCTGCAGTGCAGCCTGGGTTTGTGTCTGGCAGGTTTTGCACCCAGGGTGCCCCTCCATGGAGGAGGCATAGGAGGGTCACAAACATTTTTTATACCACAGTTCAGAAACTTGACACACGAATAATCCCAGCCAATTTTAGTTTGACTACTGTTGATCAGCTTCCCAAACACACTTATTAGCTCTTTGTGTTTAAAAGTGTAGCACAGTTTGGCTTTTTAAGATTCAGAAATACAAAAAATTTTAAAACTCACAACAGTAACACAACTTTTGTCCTAGAAGGTGATAATTGTAACGTGTGAGACTTGATTATGCAATGTTATGAAATATTGTCTGGTTATTGTTATTCAGAGGAGTTTCTTATGATTTAGGTTAGACAAAAAAGAGCCTAAAGTTGTAACACCATTTAAGACACACAGTTTCCTTAATGACACTTTAAACAGAGTATTCTACACATAACACACTGATACATGAACTACACCAATCAAGTTAATCCCTATAAAAACAGGTGCACCATAGAATTGCATAGAAAGAAATCCCTGGCATTAATAGCTTGCACTGCAGTCTAGGACTTTCTCCCTGCCTTTCTAGATCAAAGCACATATGTTTTTTAAAAAGCACATCTCACACTTGACGTTAGTCTTAGCTATATTCTTTGGAATCACTAGTGCATATGTAATTTCAAGCAATTTTTATACATCATGCTATTGTTTAATATCTATAAAGTGAAAATTGCAAGGAAAAAATTCCCCTGCCTTCCCCTCCAAAAATCTAATGTAAAATAATCTTCCTATGTAGCATAAAAATAAAATCAAATCTTTCCTCAACAAGAGAGGCCTCAATCAAAAGCCAGAGTGATTAATGAAGAGGATATTCACATGAGATGGGGAAACCCAGGGTCAAAAACCCTTTCTGTGAGGATTTTAAAACAGCATTTGTAAGTTGGATAAATAAAACCTCCAAGCAATAGCCAATGGTTTTATAGCCCAGCGTCCACTTTGCTCATGGAAGACCTACATTCAAGCCCATCCACAAATGTAAGGAAATACTCTTATCACTTCTTTATTTTAGGGCAATTCTCTCAGCTGAACCTGAGAAAACCTTCACTGAAACAGGTGCATTTCCCTGAACATATTTAATTTTGAAATACACCACTGTCTTCCATTTAAACAAAATCCTGATCAGCTCTTCATAAGGCCTGGGCTTTGTTTTACAGCAATATTGACTACATTTACTTCTTGCCTTGAACTATTTATGTTGGAAAATCCTTCATTTTAGTGCTCAAAAATATTTCCATTCCATTAATAATCCTTCCATTTACTCCAAGCATGGAGTATGTACAGGAAACAGAATTGCTGGGGGTTTGCCAAAAAGCCCTGCAGAACAGCTGGAAGGTAAAAGTAATTTACTTCAGGTATTCCTTGCACTGAGCACTTCTGTTTCATGATATAAATCCTGTAGACAGATTAAACCCATAAAAATTTTTAACAATATGCATTATGCAGCATCAGATAAGTAACAGTAAAAGTTGAAAAGGCCAGATCTCCATGAACGGATTTTGTAGAAAACTAGAATTTCTGGCTTCAGAGAGAATATATATTTAGAATATTTGTGCAAGAAGTGAATATATACAACAAATACACTCTGTTATATTAACGGTAGTCATAATTGGTTTCTTTTTTACTTAACTACATAAATGTAGAGGTGTACCAGGAAGACATATTTCTGACTGACAAATCTTTCACTGTAATATGGGAAAATATTACCAAATCCTTCTGGCTGCTATAGATACAGATTTCTGGCACAGCTAAAAATGTGTCAGGAATTAGGATTATTGTATTTTTGTAAAAATTTCATTTTAATAACAAGTTCATTATTGGATTTGTGGTGGAGAGCTAAGGAACACATGAGCTTTATTTCTAGGAAATGCTGAAAGGCACATAAAAATTTGAATACAAGATATGTTCAAAAAATCACAATCTGAGCATTTCTGCAGGTTACTTTACATTAAAATTAGCAGCTGCTTGCCTGTTGGCATTATGGAAAAACATTTCACATATCTGTAAAGGGATGATGCTCATGCATGAACAGACATTTGTTCATTCAAGTGATATATTTGCCCCTCACGTCTGCTGGAACAACTGAGTGTGCACTTACTCTGTTGTTTACTGAGATATTGAGGCACACACATTCTAATCAAAAAGTTACTTGCAAATGGTAAAAGGAGAAAGAAATTAATTTACCTGAAATGATGTACATTTAGTGAAAGTAAGTGCAACACCTTCATTTACTGATTTTATGCTAATAAATAATATGTTTAGCTAGCTGAAATTTCATTTAGGGTCACTTAATAGTTCTCATTTGTTTTAGGATTTCTAATAATTAGGGTAAATCTTCAAAATATTGCCACAGAAGGCATAGAGTCACATGCAAAACCCCACTAGTTCCAGTTGAAGCAGCAACCATCCATGTCTGTCAGACACACAGGACAACCCAACTCTGGAAAAATGAGCATTGTAGTGCCCATAAAACAGCATGGCACATTTCATAAAGCTACAGTTTGCACCATAAATGACAGACACATTTCTACACCTGCAGAGACACAAGCAATGAATTATTCACTTACAAGGGAAGTACACAACCAAAGGATTTTTGACTTGCCTAAACCATCCTGGAATCACTTGCAAAGGGAGGTGGCATGAGCCCCATTCATGCATATAAAAAAAAATTTTTCCAGAAACAGATTGGTTTGAAAATTTTGAAATATTTAACTTTGCTTGTGAAAGTTTTTTCTTGAACAATATTCTTTAGAAATACAATTTTGAAGTGATGTTTTGCTCAAGCTCTCAATAAAATAGTTGGTGTCCTGCCAACTTGAAAATGACCCCCTTTCAACACAGGTTTTTCTCCTCAAAGTCATTGTTTATGTATGATATAAATATCATTTGACATTTCTATTTCATCTCCACTTATCACAGTGCTTCTAGCAAGTATTAGATGGAATAGATGGGCTCAGATTGAAATCTAATGGATTGAAAACTACATGAATGCTGCCAGTGGAAGAATACTCTGAACTGACCACATATTTGAAAATGTGAATAAACCTTTCTCAGAAATAAATTCATGTGACAGAAGTGAAAATATGTAATTGAAGTAGTGCAGTTTTGGCATAGGCAACTGATAATTTCTATGAAAACACCTCAACCTCCTTCCACAGCCTTCACCAACAGCATTCTCTGGCCAAAGCTGGTGCAGCCTTCCCTTCCCAGGCATTACCATGGAGCTGTCTCTGAACCTCCTACAAGACCAAGGCTTTTACTGGACTTGCATGTGTCTCATCAATAATCTCTGATAAAGTTACTCACAAAATTTAGGTTAAGGTCAGGACTAACTGCTTGAAAGTTCAAGAGACTCTTTTTCAAAACACTCTCCTGGTACACTTCAAAATGTTGAATATTCAGATTTGTGTTTGCCAAAGGTGGCCATAAATAACAGTAATATCTGAACAGTATTATAAAATTCAATTCTGGCCGCAAAATTCCAACCAAGAACAACAGTGAGTTCACTTAAGTCATGATCAAAAATGAAGTGAAATACAACAACCTCCCTGTGCACTTGATGCAGGTACATCCACTTAGGTAATCCAGATTTAAAGTGTTTAAGCCACAGGTGCTGGAAGGAGATTTTAAAACTTTTTTAGAGACCTACATATGCTGCATAAATCAAACGACAATGAAAACTGCCAATCACTGGGAAATAATTTTGGAGTTCTAGAATTGCTCAGCATTAAAAATGTTTTTTAGAGCTGTCCATGTTTTTTAAAGCCATTGAAACAATAAACAGAAAATTCTGTTAACACTTCAAAAGCAAAGTCGCAGCATCAGTTGATCTAAAATGCATAGAAACTTTTTTCTCCAAGCATTTTCATTAGTCCACATAACTGCTGTTGGTTCACTCTGTCAGTTAAAAAGGCCAAGCTTTGGAAAGCTACAGCACATAAATAAATGATGGTTTGCTATATTTCTACCAGATTTCAAAGTGCTTTCAAATGGAGACAAGTCCTTTTCCTTCTCTCCAGTATTAAGGCTCTTATAAAAGTTCAACTGAAAGACACTTGGGCTTGCTTTATCAAACACACCACTTAGTATGTTTTAATCATGAACATTTTAAGATCCTATTTGTGCAATTCTAGCTTTATAAATGTGTTCTACTAACTTACAGGATTACAATATGGGGACCTTAATATACTAAAATGTGAAATACTCAGTAGATGCTGACAGTGTATTTCTGTTTAGTTTCATTAAAAGCACAGGGATCAGAACACTGACTGGGAAATTAAAACCAAGCTACCAATACTACAGAAAGCAGTCTTGCTATTACTTCCATTAAATCAAAACCAGTAATCTACAGAAATGAAATTAAATGTTCTTTTCCCATTGAGTTTCCACACCTCTTTTTCCCCCAGAATTTATAAGTTTAATTATTCTGACTGAATCCGACCCTCAGGAGACAAAACTGCTCTCAGTTCTCACCAGAGTCAAAAGGTTCTGTGAGAACTCATTACTCCAGACATTACTCAAGCTGCTTGGGACACTTAACCGTTTCAAGAAATACCAAAATGCAGTTTAAAAAATTGCATTTCCTCCTGAAACCTACAGAAAATTCAAAACCTAAATGCCTGATCTTACAGCCCTTCACAACCAGAAATTCACACTGACATGGTTTTACCACTCTCATTAGTTATATTTGCAGAGGCCCCTCTCCAGCAAACACATTCATGCTTCAATCCTGGAAAATTAGCACCCAGATTTGGCACCAGCACAACCTGTATTCAGCTGAACTCCTGAAAAAGCATGTTTAAAAAGGAAAATGCTTTGTTTAGTGCTGATATAATTTAAAATATACCTTTGAAGGCAGAAGTCAGTATGCTGTGTAAATTTGATTGATATACTTTTATATGCCAAGGTAGAACTTTCTTTGATTTCTCTGATTAAACCTCACCAGTTTTGTAAAATCCATCACTTACTGATGAAGAATTTGGAGCAGGAAATTCAGAAAGCAGGCTCTTGCACTGATACTGTTTAATTAAAAGGTCAAAAGAAGAAAAATGAAGGTGTTGCTCGTGATGCAGACTGGAATTACGGATTCAACTCTTGTCGTCTCTCGCTCTTTTGGTGCAATTCCACAACTCTCCTGCTGCCCTGAACACAAGCAGCTCTGTGGGACCAATCCTACTGAAACAAACGCCAGACCCTGACAAACTTTCCATCAACCTACCGCATGAATTCTAAACCAAAACCACTTTCTTTTAAAAACCTCTCAGTGAGTTGCGTTTCAAATAGGATGTGACACTATTTTTTTGCTTTCTAACTATGATTAAATACCCGAAAACAGGGTTCAAAAATTAAAAAAAAAAAAATTTCTTTAAATCGAATACTTTCACTGTGTAATGAAACAGAGCTACGCCTTGGGGCATCCATACTTTAGTGGTTTTGGGTTCAGACCTAATCTGCCCCTCAGCCTACACTGTCAGGCCCTTGACCCCTCAGGACAATTAACAGGCGCGGGTCAGCGAGGCGCTGAGGGCGGATCCGAGCTTTGCCTGAGCAGGATTAGGCAAACACGGAGGATGCCCTGTGGCAGTGCCTTCCGTGTAACCTGCCGAGGTGACAGCAGCTCAGCCTGGCCTCCGGGGCCGGGAGGATGTGCACTCACCTGCGGATCGCGGTCCTGACCGGCGAATCCCGCACATTCCTGGCCCTGTCACCGGAGCCCGGCCGGCAGCCGCTGCTTTGGTGAAGCCACAGTGCTGGGGACACTGAGGGGGAACCCGCGCCCGGCCTCCCTGCCCACAGCCCGTGAGCGCCGGGGAGGCGAGCCAGGGTTCCCCCCGGCCCCGCTAGAACGCAGCAAACACAAATTCCCCCCCTGTAAACACAGCTCGGGAGGGGTCCCCCGGCCCTGCGCGGGCTCCGCGCTCCCCGTTTCAGATGAAGTGGATCCAGGCAGAGCTGTCGGGGTCCTGCGGGGGCCCTGGGGCGGGCGGGACGCGCTGCCGACCCCGCAGCCGGTAGTTCTTGCCCTCGTTGTTGTCCCAGTACTCGGCGCCGGCGACGCGGTAGCGGACGGCGAACTCCAGCGTGGTCTCGGCGGCGGCGGCGCCCAGGGGCAGCAGGAAGGCGAAGCGGTCGCTGATGCCGTCGGTCGGGGCGGGCGGCTGGTACGTGGCGGCAGCCTCGGCGCAGCTGGCCCAGCCATTGAGCGTGTAGCGCACCGACACCACCTTCTCGTAGGCGAGGTTGAGGACGCGCACGGCCCCGCGCAGCCCCGCCGGCTCTGCCCGCACCCACTCCAGCCTCACCTTGTGCTGCCGCACCCGCTCCGCGAAGCCGGGGCTGGCGCCGGGCTGCGGCGGGAACAGCGGCTCCAGCAGCGGCGGCGGCGGCCCGAACAGCACCGGCTCCAGGTCGCCCAGCGCCGGCGGCTTCCTGGTCTTGAGGAGGTCGGCGGGGCGCGGCGTGGGCGGCGCGGGCAGCGGCACCCGCGGCAGGTCGGCCTCGCAGAAGAGGTGCACGGAGGTGAGCTCCAGCCCCAGCGAGTCGGCGAACCGCACGGTCTTGCGGCGCGACGGGCTCTGCTGCAGCGCGGGGCGCAGGCTGCGGTCGCCGGGCGTGGGCAGCGACTTGGCGCGGCGGCGCTGCGTGGGGCTGGGGGGCACGGCGGGCAGCGTGGGCTCCCGGCCGCGGGTCGGCGGCGGCTTCTCGCCCGCCGCTTCCCGCACCACGGGCGTGGGCGCGGCGTCGCCGTCGGGGCTGCAGCCCGCCCTGCACTGCTCGGCCAGGCTGCCATAGAGGCAGGCGCTGCAGCTGAAGTTGCGCGGCAGATAGAGCCGGGGCGGCGGCCCGGGCACCGAGCTGTGCAGCGAGCCCGCCTTATCCATGGGGTGCCGGCGGGAGCGGCGGCGGTGCCGGCGGCTGGCGCGGCACCCGGGGCTCCTCCTCTCGGACCGCGGCGTGCGGATGGCGAGGCGGCTTTAGCGCCCGGTCCGCGGGCTCTGTCTCCCGCCCGGACCCAGCGGGATGCCCTCGGCGCTGTCCAGGTCACGGCCGGCCCCGGGGGATGCCGGCGGGTGCATGTGTGCGGGGGCGGCGGCGGGACCGCGGCGCTCCGGCCGCTGCCGCTGGTGACGTGCCGCGGTCAGGCAGCGCCACACGCCCCGAGCCATCCTTCCTTCCCCATGGCTCCCACCCGCCCCGGTGCCCGCCTCGCTGTCGCCTTGCCACGGTCCCTGAGTGCGCCCCGCGGCTCCCCCTTCCCGCTCTCCCCGGTACCGCGGCTACGCCGTCCCTCTCCTCCTCCTCCTCCTCCGCCTCCTCCTCTCCTCGCTCTGTTCTGGGTCTTTCCTCGAGGATCTCATCCAAAAAGAGGAGGCGGCAGGGATTCCCCAGTGGAAGCATTAAAATTCATAGCGGTGCACTCGCTCGTCCGATCCCGTTACAGAAATAGCTGCGAGAGGAAGAGGCAAAGCCGGGCTCGGAAAGATTACACGGGCCGATAAGAAACAGCTGGCTTGCGAGTTGGATCTCACAGTGTACATTTAAAGGAAGAAATCCAGCTGATCTGCTGTAATGCCTTTACAGTACATCTGCCGAATAAAATACACCTGCCGCAGTTCTGCCACGCGTCTCCATCGGGGTAAAACGAGCTCCGGCCGAAACACGGGGGGTTGATTGTGTGAAACACAAACCGCGCCGCCTCTCCTCAGAAGAGCGTCTGGAAACTGCTGAGCAATATTCAAATAAATTACATTTTAATGACAGACTCTGATGTAGCCGGTTCAAGAAGCTAAACCACCACTTTAGTAAGCCGCTTCATTCCAGACTTTCCGTAATCTGGGACTCATTTTTAATTAGTAAATGGTATTAAAAACAATGATCCTACCATCCTGCCAGAGCCTGAGCCTGAACTGTGTTGACATGTGATTCTGATTTAGCTTCTGAGCAGGAGATTTTTACACCTCCAGCATTTTATCTGCAGCACTTGGTGTCCCTTTGACAGTCTAGGCAGTGGAAATGCGGCTGATAAGATTAAGAATAGGACAAGTAAACCTGATAAGGACTAAGAGTAGAAACAAAGAAAAGCCACCAGAACACAGGGAGAAGTTACCCACTGCCTCATATTAGCACAATCAGCTTTAATTCCTTTACTAATAAGTATGAAAATAATTCCTAGATTATTGCTGCTGGCTTCCAAATCTTTTTAATGACAGATGATTCAATGTAGAGAAAATTATGCCCATGGGCATTAAATTTGACACCACTATGTTTCATTGTGCCACTGTTTCACATTTGCAGCCCGATTAGAGGTCTTGAAAAATCAAATAGTAACAACATAAATAAGTACATCTGAATTCATTAGTCCAGAATCTTTAAATTGTCTCACTTGTCCTTTAATGCACACCATGGGAAAGATATTTTTAGGTCTCTTTCCTGTGTCTCCCTCACAGAAATGAGTATTTCAGCAAAAGAACATGAACTCATGTGTGGTTTTTGTCTACTCATGTTAATATGGGAACAAAACCAGACTCAAATAATTGTCAAACAGGTTTTAAGGCTGCATCCTTTTGAATTAATTTTTCATATTTTCTCTCTGTCATAATGAACATTTTCTAATGAACTAACACTTGGTTTTGCTGATGTTCATTTCACTTAAAATCAAGTACAGAACTTTATTTTTTACATTAATATGCAAAGTCTTTGCATTTTTAAACCACTGTGAAACTATCAGCTCAAACAAGCTAAATTGGTTTAAACCAAAATACACATTTAGTCAGGTCTGGATGTTTTTGTGGTATTCCTGGGAACACAACTTCACAGTAAATTAGCTTCTGCTGTACTTTACACAATTGGGGTACCTTTGAAAAATTTCACTTCCCCTCTTCTGGTAATGTAAGTTGCCCAACTTCTTCTTATCATAAACTTGTGTAATACTATTGCTTTTTGTGTTTCTCAGGTCTCCTCTTCCTTCCACAACCATGGTATTTCATGGAACAAAAAACCCCAACTCCCTCCCTTCTTCTCTGGTGATTGCAGGTCAGGTAGTTCGTGTAACTGAGTTGAAAATAAAGATTCCTACAAAGTAGTAAGCAAAAAAAAAAAAAAAAAAAAAAAAGGCATAAAACCCAAGAAATCAAGTGAAAAGAAAGGGAAAAAACCCCAAACCAGCACAATAAGCTTTTTTTTTTTTTTTTGGCCAGGTCAAGGCAACATGAGATGCAGGGGCACCTCAGCCTTGTCTCAAGCACTGTCACTGTGTAAACACCACCAGAATTCTCACAATGGTATTTCTCACTTTCTTCTCCCAATCCAAACATTCCCAGCAAGTCTCACTGAATCTGAGGATGCTGCTGCTTTCTTTTCACTCTTGCTCACTTGCCAAGTGTGCTGCGGGGACTCTCACCCACGCCTTTCACATCTGAGGGTGTCCTTAATTACCAGCCTGGTCTGCCCCCTCTGATGAATTTTAAGACAGATGCAGTAAATGAAAGTTTTGAGCACTGAAATTTAACAAATACACACGCAGACATTCCCTCAAATCGCCTGCAGCTTTGTGCATCCTTCTGTGATGTGGAAACTGTGGTCTGAGCTAGAGATGGGAAGCATCAGGCATGGTTTCTAAAAGGAAATTTAAAAAGAAATTTTGGGTTTGCCTACTATAAATATTTGTACACAGCAAATGCTGAAATCCTTAGAAGCAAGTAAGCAGTTCCACACACAGAAACTATGGTTTAATGTATGCAGTAGTAGGCAGCCATCCACCACCCCCTCAATCTTAATTTAGTTCACAACATTTTGAACACTGAAGTTTCAAAGCCTTATCTGTCTCTGCTTTTATAGTGCTATGGTAAGGACATTTTTCAAGACTCTTTTCTAAATAATACTGTCAAAACCAAGCTGATACAGAAATCATTAGTACTGCCCTAGCTACCACCTTTAAAGAAATACCTATTATCTTTTGGCTGGAAAGTAGTATTTTTATGACAAGACAATTTTGAAGGTGCCAGCAGTAACTGAGACAGCATCCTGTAAATTCTAGAGCTATGCAGGTTTGCTCTGTTATAGGGCAGGAAGAACAGAAGGTCTTACATTGCAATTAGTGTTGACAGCCTTAGGAAATGGTGCTCAGGCATGGTTTCCATTCCTCCAGATTCCTCTCCCTCTGCAGATTTAAATAGCACGGTCACAGGATAAAGGTTTGTCCTAATTAACATCGTCCTAATAACATTTTGTTGACCTCTCCCTGCATCTTCCAGATGATGTCAAAATTTTTAAAGACAGCCACGTTTGCTTATGTGAGCTGAGTGCCCCTGACATTTCTGCCATGCCAAAGTGCATTTAAAATCTGTCTGATGCTTGAGAATTTCCAGCTAAATGAACAGAGAAGTTTGGTCCTGTTTTGTTAAAAGATTTGCAAAGCAAGAGACAGAACTGTAGCAGAAAATGAACGGGGAGCTTTCTTCTGCTGCTTTTATTGATTGTGCGAGCCCAGGTAATCGAGGAGAAAGCAAACACCGGCGCTGGGGAGCATTAGGCAGAACCACGATGGAACCATTAATAGGGCAGAGTGTCTGAGTGCTGGGGCTTATCCAAAGTGGCCCCTGTCACATGTGCACTTTAACTTTCCAGAACAGGTTTATATTTAGCAGGCAGATAAAATGGATGTAAAGGCGAAGTGCATTACGGTTACGGCAGCTTTGGAGATGAAGTTGTGACTCAGTACATGAACTGTAAAGGTCAACTGCTACTCTCATTTGTACAGCTCCTCTGAAGCTGATGAACTATGTAGGTGTTACATGAGAATATCACCCCTAAATTTAATAATCTTATGTGACAACATGAATGTGACAATGGTATTTACACTGGCAGTCTGTAAGCCTTGTGTGATGCAGTTGTTCTGCATGCTTCTACTTTAAAAATACCTTCCCACACTGATGATTAACTCAGACTTTATTTATTTCCCCAAGAAAATATCTTAGTCACATCTCAAGAAGTGCCAGATTAGAATTAATTGTGTGTTTGAGGTATATAAAAGAACAATGGTATTGATTTCTGTGTCAAATATTATCTTTACCAACCAGGTTATGCAGTCTTTATCTATTAAGGTGAAAATTCTTTGATTCATAGAGTTAAATCAAGGATATTTGATGTCAAATTAGTGAGTAAATTCAAGCAGGCTAAAAGTTCTGCTACACAAGACATGTGACACTTGTAAAGGGTGTTTTGTGCTTGGGTATTGGTTTCTAGGGTTTTGTTTTTGCTTTTTTTAAAAAAAGTATTGGGATCCAAATGAAGACATGGCATTAACAAGAAAATAGAATTTTAAGAGTTTATCTATGTTCATGACCTTGTGAATTTGCCTTAGAGGATGATGATGCTCACACAAAATTTTATTAGTTAAGCATTAACTGTCTGCTAACTCTTGAGCAGCTTAAGAATTTTGAAGAGAGCAAAAAAAAAAAAAAAAAAGCCCAGTTACGACAGTGAGAAAGAAAAAATACCCTAATGTATACATCACATTTCTGGAGAAAATGACAAAGCACATTTATTTTTCTTATAGAAATAATTCTGCACTTTTTAGAAGGTCAGAATTTTCTTAACAAGGATTAAGTAACAGCAAGCAGGTTTGGGACTCTTTCAGTCCTAGATCTTTTAACACAACTCTTCACACAAGTATCTGAGAAAATGCACTTGGGGATGTCCCCAAATCCCATCTCCTGGTAAGTCCTTGTGACTCAGTCTTCATGCCATGCTGTAAAATAACCACAGGGCTTTCTATCAACTGCAAATGGCCTCAGTGGCACTAGTTCATGACTTTATAGAACCAAAAAAAAGCTTGTTGCATACTTTATTTTTTTCCCCACAGTTAGAAGAAAACAGACCA